TAGTAGCTTCTTGTTACTACTAGTAAGGCACTTGTTACTAGAAGCGACGCACTTGTTTCTAGTAGCTTCTTGTTACTACTAGTAAGGCACTTGTTACTAGAAGCGATGCACTTGTTACTAGAAGCGATGCACTTGTTTCTAGTAGCTTCTTGTTACTACTAGTAAGGCACTTGTTACTAGAAGCGATGCACTTGTTACTAGAAGCGATGCACTTGTTCCTAGTAGCTTCTTGTCATCTTCTCAAAGCCGTTTTCCTTTTTTGAAGTCAGGACCTGCGCGCACGAGAGAGCTTCACGCAGGTGCGGAGTTGGAGCACCGAATAACGCTTTGGCAAACATCTCGTTTCCTCCAGAAAGACCAACCCATGCTCGATTGAATTGATGTGCGGTGGCCCGATTGGATTGCCATTGGATTCTGGAACGGCAGTTACCGTATGAGGTCTCGAAAATCCATGAAAGTAGCAGAGACGCTACTAGGAGCAAAGGGTAGGGCTACTAGGAACAAGAAACTACTAGTAGCAAAGGGCATTACTACTAGGAGCAAATAGATACTAGGAACAAGGACGCTACTAGGAACAAAGGGCATCGCTACTAGGAGCAAAGACGCTACTAGTAACAAGTGCATCGCTTCAAGTAACAAGTGCCTTACTAGTAGTAACAAGGACGCTACTACTTGACGTTTGAGTCCGGAAAGGCCGCCACAAAATCCTTGGAGGCAACACCTCTACCGCCTTTGCCTCTGACCACTTGAGCCCTCAGTTGGGCAAACCAATCCACGAAAGCTAAACAAGAGTCTTCTCAGAACTTGAAGAGTGCTAGCCTTTTACTAAATGATGACCATGACGAGTGCTTCGCTAGTAGGTTGGCATTACTACTAGTAACAAGAAGCTACTAGGTTGGTAACCTTTGGACAAACATCTTTAGTTCCGACCTCTGGGTCCCTTGCCGATTGGCCAAGAGGGTGGAGGTCGATTTCGACCGACCTGACCTCCCGCGAACGCGTGGAGGGGGGGGGTCAATTCGAAGCGGTGAGATGGAGTGAAGTAGCTCCTTAAGTCTCTACTAGCGTCCTTGTTCCTACTCGTAAGGCACTTGTTCCTAGTAGC